ATAGTATGTAATAAATGGTATAACATTTTTATTAGTTTTTTGGGGAACCAGTATCAAATCGAACTATATCTTTCTTCTATGATATCTATCGAGAAACACGATCGATAGAACCTTGTGAAATTTGCATATTGAAGGCATCGCAATTCCTTATCAGACTGTCGAGAATCTAGAATCATCGTCGAGAGAACGTTTGTTTGCATTTCTCTTGGTGCAAAGCAATGTGAAGACGTAATGCTATACATTTCTAAGTAATACGACGATACACTAGAAATACACGATTTCAAAAGTGTGTCTCATCTTATAATAATAAAACCGATGTATTATAAAATATAACGAACAAACGGTAAACTTGATATCTTGAGATAAAACGTTCTTTATGTTGAATTTTCTATTCGTCAGAGAACGACTGAAAAACTAAGCTATTTTTTATTGTCTATTGCTTACAAATGTAATTTCTCTACTTTTCAGAAAAGAACGAGGATTAAATTATTGCCATAGTTGCATGTTATTTAATTTTGCTGTTAATGAATAATTCCTATGGAAAAAAATTTTTGCATTCATGGTAAACTTGCTTGTAACATATTGTGCAGGCAAAGAAGTATAAAACGTGTGTAATGTAAAAATAATTCTGCACATACAGAGCATTTTATAATTTTGCCCTCATTGAACATACTCTAATTCAAACGTAATTAATGACGGTGCCTCGATTTGACTTGAAGCGACGTTTTAATCTCGCAGTTTTATTACACGACGCAAACACATTTCTATAAAATAAATGACACGACACCAACGTCGTAGTAGCGCGTCCTCGTACAGCTGTTTTATTATGCATTCGCGTGTATTTACATGCGCCATTCATAACTAAAAAATTACGGGGAACGAACGATTCATAATTCAGCTCGTCCTGTTCGCGCAGGATCCAAAATTGTCTGTCTCCTTATTTAAATCTCTCACCAATCAGGCGATCCTTCGCTTTACAAGAGAACCCGAGGAGAATCCGTTATTCGATAACTAATTTACATGCGATTTCCGCGTGAAGTCCAACGCTACTCGAAGGAGGGGGAGGAAGAGATGCCTAAATAAAACATCCCCCGGCGAAACTTCGGCACTCTCCTCGCCGTTGACCTTTCGCGCCGGGTTCAACGACACGCGCCAGCGACGTTCCCGGAGGACGCGCGAGTATAAAAATTGTAAATCGCTGAATATGAACGGAGGTTTGTATATCCGGCAGGAATAATCTCGCATTTGCTGTCGGCCTCGGAATTTTCGTCCTGGCCATCGTGAATTGTGCGTCTAGGAAGATGCTATTAGTCGAAAGGAGAAGGAAGAAGGCGTCCCCGATGTTGCGCCACCGGCATCTTCATTAATGATAATGATCGTGCGGTCTTGGCAGTCTGCGGAAGAGCTCGCGAAAGGAAACACCGCGATTTGTATTCAGAACATGGCATATACACACGGCGAGAGCCAAGAATTGTGGGGCAACCCGGTGGATTCGCGAAATAAACTCTCTTGTATAAGAGAGAGAAAGAGAGAGAGAGAGAGAGGGAGGGAGAGAGAGAGAGAGAGAGAGAGACGGAAGCGACGATGCACCACCGACTCGAGAGGAACGAGGGGGTGCACACCCTTGCGCTCCAGTTCGGCTTCCGACAATAAAAGTGAGCTAAGACCCACGTACACCCCTCGACGCGACAACCACCGAGCGGTCTTTTATTCGACGGTAGCGTTTGCTCCGTCGTGTTCCATCGCTCCGTATAATCAAGGAACATTGGAAAAGAATCATTCTCCTAAAGCTGTGTTCTATCAAGCAGAACAAACCGCCTGATAGCATCCATTCACTATTTGCTAAACGTGGATGAAGCTACACAATCCGACAGAATCATCCTCAATTAATAATAAAATATTAATTTTAACTGTATGGTACAATTGCAAGTAATATGCTTTTTCTTTTGTCATCGCAACTGATCTTATGATCTCTCAACATTGTCGAAATACTGTAAAATAACTATTATATATTTCATAATTTATTGTTTGCTTATATATAAAATTATTTTAATGAAAGAAAGAGAGAAAGAGAAATAACCAATGGTAAATATGCTCCTAAATAAAGATATATAACGAGAATAATTTTCGATTAATTATCTCTTTTTACAGGAAGCGGATGCAATTAAAAATACATGCTCCATTAATTAAAAAAAAAAATTTTAGTTAAACTTTTATAACAAAAATTTTCATTGGTGGCATACAAAAAAAAGATATGAAATTAAATTATAAACTTAATGTGCAAAAAAACATGATTGATATGGTTATAAAAATAATAATCTTTTTAATAATAATTTAAAACAGTTTTATCAACAAACATATGCTATTTTTTATTGTGTGAAAACATCCATGATTGATGATTGTTCAGTTTATAAACTTTTATTAATCTCATGTATCCCAATAGAAGAAACTTATTGCGATAAATCTTTTATGTCAACGCATTAAACGGTCGGCAAAATCACATGTATAAATCCGGATTAAGAAAGAAAGATACAGAAATCGATAGTCCACGGTTTATTGTTTGAATAATGGACGTAAAATATGAGAAAGAAAGTTAGCATTACACGATGAGAAAATCTATGCGATGAGAAAATCTATGCGACAAATTTATTTTCACTTTATCGGTTCTCTGTCTTTCTACTATCTCAGGATAATCAGGATAATTATTACTAAACTTTACGACGTAGTATATGTATATACACAATTTCATCGAGTGTTATCTGAGTCGTAAATTGAAGAACAGATAGATCATCAAATTGACGACGAGATTGTTATATGTATATAAAATTTAAGCAGTTTTTTCGGAATTGCCAACGCTAAAAATTGATCGTCATGAAGATTAAAAAGTACAAGTATAAACTTTAAAATATCTAAAATTCGTTTATATTTAGAATTCCTTTATTATAAATGAAATTCCACTATTATAAACCATGATAATTTTCAAATGTTTTGTAGCATAAAATAATTGATTTTCGTTTTTTTTAATTTGCAAGCAATTGTGTGAAAAAATTTCATAATCATATTGTTGTATACGTATTTTAAAGATCACACTAATTGTTTTGCAGGTTTATTAACTAAATTTTAAATAAATTTTAATTAATAATTAAATAAATAATTAAATAAATTTTAATTAATAAATTTTTATTTTAATTAAATTTTATTTAAAAAAAAATAAATTATAAATAAACATTTCTGCACGATTTATCTTAAATATTATCTATCAAATATGCAATATTTCCAAGCTATTTTAATAATTAATATAAAAATTCGCATTATACAGATCTTTTTATATCCGTCGACACAATGTCTTGGTATTCACTATTTCCACAAGAAGTTTGATATATTTTTGGAGAGTTCGCAGTTCGAAATGCGCGACGTGCAAAACGCGAGTTTATTTTCGGTGGAAATCCTACATGGTGCGGGGCAGTGTCCGATCAGCTTAAAAAAGCACCTCTATCCGTCTGTTGCGTAGGATTTTCAAGAACACGGAGAAAGCTTCCCGGGAGAACGAATTGTATCGAGTGTCATGGGAGTGTCTCGCGGTCTCGGGAATTTTGTCAAAATTCAGACTCTGATTCACTCAACGAAGGAGCAACGTCTGGTCATCGCTTCGTTTGTCCATGCCCTCTCACGGGATTAGTCAAATCCAAAAATAATATCACGCGAGCCGCGCATCGTGATGCAAATGAACATAGCGATGTAAATCAAACGTTTTAAGCTCTCAAAACCTGAGATACATCGTCTGGCGCAATAGAATTATGCTCCACTGAGCACAGATAGGAATTATTGAGGAAATAAATACAATCGAAAACTGCAGACGAATTTATCAAGGATCGATTAAAGATTCGCGCATCAATCGCTATTAATATGCTCAGCTGAACATTGGCAGCTGAAGGTATGAATCTAATAAAAAATAAAACACAAGCTATATATGACGTAAAAATATAATATAAAAATAATTTTACATCAACGAATCTTTTTAATATTATTGCCAGCCAATAGCTTATTAATTGATAATAAATAAGTAATGAGAAATAACGAACAAATTATACAATAATTTGTATTAATTATCTTAATCAATATGCTGTTGTTAATTAGCAGTTTTTGCTACAATTAAATAAATTTATTATGTATTATACTTTTGAGCTAGACCAGAGAGATCGACCATACGTTTTATTAAATATTTATTCCTTCCATTCAAACTTGTCCATTAATATAAATATTTTAGAGATGCAGCTTTATTAAAATGCAAAAAAAACGATACGCACAGAATCACTTATCACTTTCAGTTAGAAACATTTTTACGTGGAATAAAGTCAAAGTAGAGCCACAATTAAATTTTTTTTCACGAAGCCGTGCATTGAAAAGGCACGGGCATTAAGGCCGTATTTCTCTGTTTTGATTTCGGTCGACGCGCGGTGTGCAAAGTGGACTTGAAAATAACCCCGCCACGGGAGGACCACCCGATCTATTAATAGAGGACCGACGTGAGTATCTTTGTCGCCGGTTCGGCATCGACTACGGCACGGTTTCACCGCAAAATCCGCCGATACAATTCGCATACGTGCACGTGTATCGTCGTCCGAAGACATCGTCGCGATGCACCTGACACCGTCATCGTTCAGTGAAGTCCGGTAAAGTCTACAGCGGACTATTCTCGAGGTCGTCGAGTTGAAAGCTTTCGGTTAAGAGCGAGAACGAAAACGAGAGAGAGAGAGAGAGACAAAGAGAGGAAGGAGAAGAGAAGTCGTGCCAAGGAAGTCTGTTCGGACGCGACCGTCGTTGTGCGAGACGACCTCTCCGAGGTTTCCATCGAGATTTTTGGCTATCGCGCGTAGCAGAACTGTGGAAGGAACTTAAAACCACGCGTTTCGAGTGAATCTAAATAAAGAAACTCTATGCAGTGCGAGGGCTGAGGCGGGAGGCGCGGTGCCTCCCGGGATGTGAGAGAGTGAGTAAGAATGGTACAGCGAACCGCGTGCAATAGCGAGACGAGCGCATCCCTCAATGGTGCATCGAGCGGCGACCGCGAAGGTGGAGGAACATCCGGAGTCGCGACAGACGCGGTGGTAACGCGAGATACCGTCGATGGCGAGGCGACTTCCTTGACACGCGGCGGCGGCAAGGAAGGCAGGTTTTCTCTGTTCAGGTGGTTCAAATCGCGAAATCGCGATTCAACCGTGGAGAAGCGACGAAGAACGAGCGCGAGATCGGACGATGAGATCAGCGTCGTCCGACGACGCAGCAGCGTCTACTCCAGCGTAGAAAGCATAGACACCTTCTACAGCACCACCACGGTTCGCAGTTTCGCGTTCCACGCGGGAACGATAAACCGTTGCAACGTACTGTCCCTGGACATCCTCAGGCAAGCTGCCGAGGTCGGCCCGTTTGCTGCCGGAGCCTCAAAAGTATCCGTTGGAAACAAAGAGAATAACGCGGCTGCCTGCACGTTGCCGATCAACGTGCACTCCAGGAGACGAGACATTGGTGCCAGATACTCGCTGCATCCGTCCACGACCTTCGCCTCATGCGAGAACTTCCCGTCGTCCAAGAAAGGCTCCTCGGGTTCGTCAAGAACCCAAATCAATTGCAACGGATCCGTGCGGCGGCGGTTACACGTGAAGGGAAAACGAAAAGCACCCAGTCCTCCCGCGGTAATCAAAATCGTGGAAGTCGATGTACGCGAAACGCCCGCGAGGAACAGTAACAGGCGGAAACGACGGGCACCGCAACCGCCGGAGAAAGCGACCGCGGAAACTCGTTTCACCGAGGAGCGGTCGAAGCTTATCATCGATGGCGGCAGCATGGAACTGAAGAATGTCGACGAGAGACAATCGATTAGCAACGACACGCTGGTTCTTCAGGGCGGTATGCTGCTATCGAAGAAGGAGGTTTGCGGCAGCCCAAAAGAGGGGAGGAGCAACAGAGGCGGCGATGATGAAACGTCCAGCGTCCTGATCCCACGGGAAAAGGCGCAAGGCTCTATTGGTGCTACTTTGAACGCGGCTATGCCGCGACCTTGGTATAAGCGCAGCGTCTTCGAGCACTCTCGCGACCTCGGATCGTCCAAGAGAGGAGGCACGGTCTTTCACGGTCCTACGACTTCCTGCGAAATGAAGGAGAAGTGTATCGGAGCAAACTTGAATTATTCCGTTGAGTCTTCATCGAGGCTAAACTTTTTTCACCGCGGTGATCGGCAGAGCGACGATAAAAAGCGACAGGAGGTTAAACGAAGATCCGGTTTATCTATCCTGACGAACATCAGCGAACTGGATAAAGAAGCGGCGGCGATCGTGCAGGAGGAGCAGGCGAGAACTCGGGCGTCGATGTTGTTGAAAACATCGAAGTTAGTCGATGACTTCGAGAAGAGAAGCGACGTTAATGAAGAAATCGTTCAGGACATGGTCACTTCGGCGATGGAGAGCTCATCGCCTCGACGAGGTACACGCGCGCTGATCTCAAAGTTTAATGCTATTAGCAACATCACCAAAGTCACGGTTAATGCTAATTTCTTCGCTAAGAAGGATCAGTCAGATTACAAGCTCGATCGCGATGTAACAAGGAACAGCAGATTCGAGCAGATCGGAGACTGGAGGAGTCAGAGATTCTCCGCACAACAGGATCTCGGCCATAGTGTTCGTGTTGATAAAGATATCTCCAAATACTTTTTGCCTCAGCAGAAATCATCGAGGAATAAGACGGAATCGACGCATACGAATGTAAATTCAGTAGACGTCAAAAGCACCTCTAGCAAGGAACAGAACGATCAGCTGATGAAGGAAGCGTCCAATAGAATATCATATCTGCAAAGCCAGCTGGCTGCGAATCGCGCGAACGAATCTTTAGCTATTCAGAAAAACATCGCGTTATCGGCAGCGGAGGAAAAGGTAAGATCACGGCAGGAAATCGTCGAAGAAAAAAAAGATAGAGAATCGCCGAGATTAAATAATGAAACTAGTAAGAAATTTTTGCTGTCCCATGCTCGTAACTTAGTTGAAAGCACGGAAAATACGTTAGATCCCGTCAGAGAGAAGGCGAAAGGAAGCGAAAAGCGGCTGGAGGGGGTGCAGAAAGAATTCTCGAACATCTTCGACGAGATCGATCGACAGCTGCATTCTAGAGAGTTCAAACTCGAGCGAAGACCAGTAGTCGAATCCGACTACGTCAGAGACAAAGTTCCAGAGGATGAAGTCGTATCGAGCAGAGTGGCTAAAGTGCTCGATATTCTGGTGGAAGCCGAAAAGGATGGCAAGGCGAGATCGGCGGTACAGTTGGAAAGATCGATGCAAGACAAGGAAACATCGCGTTTGATTAATTCAAACCAGAAGACGAAGTCTAGTAAGACAAAATCAACCGTCCTCAATACCGTCGAGGATCCAATTACCGCAGATTTGAAGGAGATGCTGAAGGAGATGAAGCACTCGTTACCGAAGCGGCCTAAACCGAGGAAGGCTACGTCAAACGACGATGACGTTCTCGAAAAGGTTGAGAAACGCTCGCCCGTATCGGCGAACAAGACCTCATACGTTGCCTCAATCACGACGACGAGGATGGAAGCAACGTCGTCAAATGATTACGAGGCAGATAAGCAAAAGGTGTCCTCGTCGGCCCAAACCAGTGGAAACATCCGTAGATTAAATCAGCCTTCTACATCCGCTGAGCGACCGTCTACGTCAGGTTGGAAGCACGAAAACGTGCTCTACAGAACTTCCGGCAAAGGTTCCGCTCTTGTCAAGAACACTTTCCAATTGATACGACCGCGTGATTTCGCCGAGATAGAAGCTACAAAAACTACGAAGGAGATTGACAAGGAAAACACTTATGTCAATATGATGGAACCATCGTTGTACGCCAATGCTCACGTCCCTCCTAGCTCCTCGCCGAAACAACGATCACCAAATTTGATGCGATCAAAGGGTATTCCCTTAAGTAATCATGTTAAAGTATCGCCCAATATCGTAAACGAAAATAAAATACTGAATAACGAAGAATTTACAGAGGAAGAAGGTAAGATTGCGAAATATTCAATAACACGATATTTTTAATACAACTATTTATTTGAAACGACAATCATATTGGAATTATTCGTTCTAAATAAAGATGGTAAATAAAGAAATGTATAAAGTTTTTTCGGAGAAAAAAAATAAATTAAAAAAAAATAAAATGCTATATATTTTTAATTAGTTTGCCTCGATTTAGTACTATTTTAAAAAAAGGAATTTAATAATATGATTATTGCAGACGATAATTCAACGGCGAAAAACATGAATACCCTGGCTATAAATCGATTGCTGAGAAAGCTGGAAGGTGCCATCGCGTCGGGCCATCATCAGCAAGCAGCGGGATTAGCGAAGGAATTGGCAAGGCTCAAGATCCATTGTTCTGTGATACGACAGCGTTCGGCGGCGCGTTTAAAGGATCAGTCGATCAAAGTCAACATGTATATCGAAGACAAACTCGCTCATCAGGGACCTATACCGCTTCAGGTAATTATACGATAGTTATATGATGGTTACTCGATATGCAAACAAAATGCTTCATGGATTCAATTATGATAAGCTGCCGATGAAAATGACGGTAGCCGAGCTGAAGACGAAGATACATACGGAGTTTGAAATACCCACGAATGTGCAGCGCTGGATCATCGGGAAAAACCTGGCTGATCATGACGAGACCACCCTCGAGGAATTACACGCGGTGGATGGTTCATCAGTGTTTCTTTATCTCGTAGCACCCGGTAATCTGATTCATTCGGCGCTAATTTTATTCAGATTAAACAAAAGATCAATTTTCCGTTCTGAGGAAATATAGAAATAAAAACAGAAATATATTTTTTAAGATACAAAACAAAAAAAACATGATTATTATAATTTATAAATATAACGCTTTTCTCTCTTGTTTAATCTAAATTAATTTTTTTTTTTTTAGAATTGCATGTCGACAATGTAACGCAAACGAATAAAGCACCGTCCACGGAAGATAAAGTTCTTGAAGAATTGCCGCAAGATCCACCAACGGAAATCTTGCAGATAATCGAAGAAAATCAAGAGACTGTCGAGACAGAGAAAACAGTGACATTAAACGAGCATCAGGTATATAACAAAAGCGCAACAACGTGCAATCTTATTTTTGTCTTGCACTATTGTGGCTTTGTTGCTCATTTCTCTATGCTAAGTAGCGTACCTCGACTAGAGAGAAAGATAAGTAACATACATTTTGATATCCTTGTGCAACAATAGCGAGAAACAGCAGAAACAGACGTATCGGAAGATGTCAAGATGGCACGATACGAGGAATTGATATCGTTGGAGAACTGGGATGTCATCCCGAATTCCGAGCCAATCGAATGTCCAATATGCTTTGTTACATACGGTCCGCGCGAAGGTGTAATTCTGAGGGATTGTTTACACATGTTCTGCAGGTAGAAACCCCTTAATCCGCTTCATCCCAGAATATTAATTATTGTTTAATCTGTAAAACGGAGGAAAACCAGTTTCACACATATCGTTCGCTTAGATTTTTGTGCTTATTAATAATAAGTGGCAATTTTTAGAATAAATTACTTTTGCTTTACTTTTATAGCTATTTGCTGCGATCAATCATCGATTTTAATTTGTCATATTGTGCAAAATACATTACATTTAGTTCGCTTGAATGTCTAAATATGTCACATCTCGTATATGACGCATCACATTTGTATATTTATCTACTTTGCAATACTGATTCATGCTGATTCATGTGCATTACTAATGCGACAATATTTATGCTAGTGGCTGCTGTAAAACGTATATGATTACACATGAATTACGCATGAATATGATAGATTGTTGCGCGAAAATATTTCGCAAACAAAAAAAAGCAATCTACAATTACATTTTTCATTTGTTCACTTATAATTAACAAAACAAGCGTACATGCCAGTGTATAACGAACGAGTTTCATCATACATTCACAGACCCTGCATCGCCAATACGATTGCATACTGTGAGGAGGCGGAGGTGAAATGTCCATATAGAGATGCCAATTATACGTGTGAATCGACTCTTCAAGAACGCGAAATTAAAGCCGTAAGCTTCTTTCTTTGATTGAAAAGATCAATCATCCTAAGTTTTAATCAAATCCTTTTTTATTCTTATTGATTATGCTTAGCTCGTCGAACCGGAAGTTTATCAGCAGCACCTCGCGAAATCGATCGCGCAAGCGGAGAATAATGCCGGAAACAAGGCCTTCCACTGTAAAACACCAGACTGTCCTGGGTGGTGCATTTATGATGATGATGTGAACAATTTCCTGTGTCCCGTGTGCGGGGCCAATAATTGTCTCACCTGTCAGGTAAACGCAACACTTATCACAGGAAAATGTCGAATTTAAAAAAACCAAAATATACAGTAATGGAAATAAAAATATCTTTTATTTCTCTTTTTCTATTATTTCTAGATGCGGAGAATATTTTTCAATATTTTTCTTGTTATATATTTAAAAACTGTAAATTTTATAATAAAATAAATATAAAATTCTAAATTTTATTTGCAATATTATTTTAATTTTTTTAATAATAAAATGAAAATATTGCAAATAAATAAAATTTAATAATAAAAAAAAAGGTTACTGTAATTTATACAAATGTTTGCTCGCATTTGAATCTGCTGACTTTTTTATCTGGTGTTTTATTTTTCCACGTTTTCGAACATTTATACTAATTTTATTTTACAACTATTTGCATAAGACATCGGCAATATCTTTATTAAAATTGTAATATAATGTAAAGAAAAAATGTCTAAAAACTTTACTGCTTGTTCTTTGAGATATTAATATTTATATTATTTTTTCTTTTATATTAATATTAAATATTATCGTACAAATTTATTAACGCAAATACTCAGATAATAATCACTTAAAGCAATTGAAGATCTTTAAAAGCACAAATTTTAATTTTAAAGGTTGTTCATACCGGAAAAAATTGCAAGCAATATCAGCAAGAATTGCAACTTTCGAAAGAAACCGACCAAGAATCTAGAAGGACAGCTGCGATGCTCAAGGAAATGGTAGATAGAGGCGAGGCACTCGCATGTCCCACATGTGCTGTCGTTCTTATGAAAAAATGGGGTTGCGATTGGCTGGTGTGCTCCATGTGCAAAACAGAGATATGCTGGGTTACCAGAGGACCACGTTGGGGTCCAGGGGTAAGTGGATTAATTTATTTTTTGCAATTTATTAAGATTATTAAGAGTGTTTTTTTATATAAACTCTAACAAACATAAAACTTGTTAGCAATTAACGACGTTGTTACCGCACTTCTATTGATTGTATTTATTTGTCACAGGGTAAAGGAGACACATCCGGTGGCTGCAAATGTGGTGAAAACGGAGTAAAGTGTCACCCCCGTTGCAATTACTGCCACTAAAAAGTCACAACTGCCGCGACAATGAGTGAACGCGTTTACGATGAAAATAAGATGTTTTAGAAATGCTTACATATTATTTATATTAAAACGTAGCATGTATAACAAACTCGATCGTAACGTGTCTTTGATATACGTTTAATATAAGTTGAAACTAATATAAGTTGGAACTCCGATAAATGCCGATGTGCCATAGAAGTTACACACTGCTTGCTCAATGATACCTTTATTGCAGCACTGTTTTCGATGGAGATTTGCAAGTGAGATTTTAATAAAGAGAATAATTTGTACCGATATTTCTTATTCTTACCGTAAATACAAGGTATATAAAGAAATAAACTGTACTTTACTTAAAGCTTTAGATAAATCTAAGACATATAATAAATTACCGAGATTATAAGAAGTATATATATGTATATTTTGCAATTATACAGGCACCGATTCTTCGTTCTCACCGGAAGTTGTTTCGTTTGTACCAATCTGTTTTAATCGAGCAACTAATGTGGATTGATGATGTGTGAGCTGCCGATTTAAATTGTTACCGCCTGCACTCTGTAACAATTGAACAAGATGCATCCGCGAAGTTGTAAGATCCATTTTGCCGTATCTCAAGAAATCGTCCTTGTTTAGCAATTGTCCCTCCAATATGCCCGCTATAAAAGATAGATAGGTCAGATAGGTTTATATCAATTGTTTCCTTATTTTAATACTTCTTGAGAGATTATTCTTACCCAGAAAAATAATTTGTGGAAACTTTTTGACAATTTTTTGAAAGCCAGTGACATTTGTGTCAAAACCGAATATGATACAAAATGTTGCTTTATACAACGGTAGCGTCGCTGTATAAGGTGAATCACTTAACGCTAATTTCATAACCGTCAAACTATATTGCTTATACTCCATATTCACTTTCTTTAATGCAACTCGGAAATCAAATATCTCCTCTTGTGTCATAGAATTTCGATGACAAATGGCAATTAGTTTAGATTTGTCAAACCAGTTTCGGACATCACGTGCTAGTATTCTTTGGTAAGGATTAGATATCTTTTCCAGCTCCTTTTTTTTCGCAGCATTTATTGCTTTGTGACATAGTTCTTCTAATGTCTTGCCTTTATTTTGAGATGGATAAAAAGGCGTCATAAATGTGTTGACCACTGCTCTCAAATAATGTGGTTTTCTGGGGTGTTGTATATTAATTTTGCCTCGAAAACGTTTCTGTTGATAAAGAACTATGTTGGGAATAATCTGGAGTGCTGAAACACACAATACAATAATATCGTTAAATTCTAGAAAGAATTAGAAAGAATCGAAAAGAAAATTAATAAAAATTTAAGTACCATTACCTACCATAGCTTTCGTAATTTTTTCACTATATTTATCCTCAATGTCGCTCGACATTTTGTTACAAATTCGATAACTTGTAGTAGGTACATTATTTGATGAGAACGATAGAAAGTATGTTTTAAAAATAATAATAATCCTACTTTGGAACTATCAATAATGTATAAACTATATGCAAATATTTTTATATCGTAATAAGTACATGATCCGAATATCGATTAAAGACAAGTACAAAATTATATACATATATGGAATTAATTATTTTCACTTAGCGGTATAAGGCACTTTGGAACAGACTACATATATATATATATATATATATATATATATATATATATATATTTATATATATTTATATATATGTATGTGTGTGCAAAAATGTGTGTATATATTTGCAGATGCACGAATATATGATATGTATATATGTATATTTTATTTACTTATACAAAATTCTATGCATCTATTCAGCAAATGATTTTTGCATTTACGCGATATAATTGATCGTTCCGCTGCAGTAATTACTGGTTTCGTGCCTCGTTTCTATGCTATCACCGAAATTGAGCGATTTCCTGTTCTTGCCCAACCGGAGCAACGCCGACCGAATACCGCCTTTCTTTCGCGAACGTTTATATCGATCGTCTAACGCTGAATTAAGAGAAGCCTGTTTCACGTCACCGCGACTATTTGAGAAACCTTCTCGCTCATCTTTGATATTATTGCTACTCGTAACTTGGCCATCATCTACAAGCCAATGTTTCCTCGGCGAAAGAAACTTATTATTGCATCCAGGTATAGTGTACATATATTCTGATTGAGCAGGATCAACAGACTTTTCATAGTGTTTCACGTTATTGTCTGAATTTGTATTTTCAGCTAAGGCCCCTTTATTTGTATGTTTGTCAAAATTGTTGGACTTGCTGTTCCTCTTCGAATAATCTTCTAAATCATTTGAATGATTGCTCGTTTGACTGGTCGATTTCTGATTGGTTTGCTCTGCGTTCTTGTTTTCTCTACCTTCGCGTAACTTCTTGTTTCTCTTGTAGGTATCCGTATTCTTAGCGTCGAGAGCAGCGTGTCGTTTCTCCGACATACTCTGTCTACCAAGAGCATCACGAGAAAATTTATTTGACGAAGAATTTAACTCTTCCAAAGATAATTGACTATCGTACGTAGGATCCCCGGAATATTGGCTGTCTTTGTCCTCGGTATTTCGTTTGGCTTCGTTTCCTTGAGAGCTATCGTTGTTGGATTCTTCTAGCAATACTGATTCAACTCGATCATCGCGCGATCCTATAACTGTCTTCTTACCAACGGGCTCTATCCATGCATTATTAGTAGCAAGGCAATAACTTTCGTTTCTTAGACTATTTTTACTATATTGCTCTGTTAATCTATCAATGACAGGATTCCATGGCGAAGCTGTTACACAAGACAATAGTCCTCCATTATCCAGTATATCTGTCTGAGAATTTAAAGAATTTTTCTCCTTAATTATACCATCATTCGTTTTAACTGAATCTGATATGTATACGCTACTAACAGATTCTGGCTTACGGTGAGGCTGTAAATTATCTACAATATTCTTTTCGTTTGTGTCATATGATGATACTCGCCTAGCTATTATAAGATTAATTACACCAGTTACTGAGCTGTTTGTATTAAGCATTGCCCTTCTTAAAGTTTCCATTGCTTCAGAATTAGACAATCCCAATAAGGACACACCGTTAACCCTGAGCAATTGATCATTGGTTCGTAAGCGACCATCTCTGGATGCTGCACCGCCATGGATAACGCTTTTTATAAAAATGCCTAAATCCATATTGGTGTTATCTTCAGAACTGTTGGTCTTACCTTTAACGCTGACACCTAAACCAGCCTTCTCAGAATCATGTACTGGTATATCTAAATTCATTATCACGCGATTCTTCCTTAAAGATAAGACAATGTCCTCAAAAGACTTTGTTGGTTTATATGTACATTTATCGTAAGTGTGAGTGTTTACTTTATCTTGTATATCATTCTTTTTCGTTGGTGATCTATTTAATGCGTTCCAATATTTTGAATTATCCATTACCTCAGCAGTTGAGGTAGATGTCGCATTAGTACCCTGAGAATCTGGAATGTTTGAAGAAATTTCTTCTTGCCGCGATACTATCATCCTAACTTTACCTCCAGGAGGAATACTTCTAAGTAATGACACAACCTCCGCTTGACTTTTGCCAGTCATTTCTTTGTTATTTACTTCTAATAATCTATCACCCGGTCTAAGTCTGCCATCCTCTACAGCAGCACCTTTTGGTAATATATTCTTAATGTATATAGGACAATGTCCTCCAGCAGGATTATCACGTGTGGTGACGCTAAATCCTAAACCATTAGTTCCTTTTATTAATTCTATCTCTATCATTCGTCCAATTTTCCTAGTGTTTGCAGTCTGTAAAAGATTATAGTTGCTACATTGAAGTCTTTTAATATTCTCATCTTCAGTTTTCTCTGATCCTCCACTGGTATTTCCATAATTTTTATGCAAAGATTTCTCGCTCCTCATTTTCTTTTTGTGTTTAACAATGGAAATTTTCAAACAAGGATCATTCATACATGTTCTAAAAATTTCTTGGACTTTTGAAAATGGTATGTGCAACAAATTATGACCATTTATCTTTATAATATTGTCGTGTAAATCAATTTGTCCATCCCTAGCAATACGACCATTTGGTTCGATACCTTCAACTCGAAGACCTTGATCATTGCCTGATAAGTCGTAACATGGTACCACATGAAGTCCCAATGGGCCTGCTTCATTTTTTATCACAATTTCTCGTACCTCCTGATCCTCAGATTCAATATTATTACCAAATTCATATGAAGTCTTGGAATCTTGACCTAAAGGTTCCCTACGTCGAGACTCTCTAGGTAAGGACTGAGCAGAATACGTTGCGAGACAAGGCTCCCTGGTTGACAACGCATGCATTGACAACCGCTTGGTACTTTCTCTCTTAATACTACTAGTAGGCATAGAGGAATGAATATCGATTGGATAAGACTGCTCCTTCCCATCCGTATGGAAGAAGTCAGGACTATTTGTGCCGACTGAGCTTGCACCATCTCCACCAATATGATTGACATCGGAGCTGACGAAATGAGCCACAATCTGCTCCCTGTCGTCGGCTACATCGCACAATCTGTCGTCTGGATCCAACAGGCCGCCTCCGGTTAAAGAAGATAGACTATTGATGGTCAGGATGCTATCGTTCTTTCCAGTAGCCTTTTTATATCTCAGGATGGCCTCGTGCATCAGATCCCTCACGAGCAGAGTTCCATCTCCGCATGGGACCACCACCCTGACGTTGTCGAAGCACACGGTTACCTTCATGCTCGCTCCGATTTCATATTCTGGAGATACACGTGCGGAGATGCGTGCGCCAGAGATTATCGCGGGGAAAGAGATGACAATTAAGTATTTGACAGTTCGTTCGGCGCCGGACGGACGCGGATACGTCGTCGCACGTGCTCCGGAATGCGTCGCTAGAGCAACGCAATTAACGCTTGTTATTCGAGTCGATCCTCTCCATATCTCGGATATGATTCACCGACACGGTACGTTGCGCGTCGCCGCGATTTTTCGCGCTCGAACTGTCAACGCTCATTCACGGGTCGAGTCGACGACGCGAGGAGAGCCCGAGAAACGCCCGCGGGTAACCGAGTCTCGTCGAGATAACCGATAAGGCGGACGCGTACGCCCAACTTTATCGCGACATCAAATACGCGGAATAGACGCATTCGCCATTACGACATTTTGTTCCGTCGTTCCCCCCGTTCCGCGAGCGAGGAACGCCGGAAGTGGACGGCGCATGCGGCGTAGGAGGCTCACGAGCACCACTATAACCATCGGAAACTCGTACGGGTATATTCTCGGGAGCGAGATCTATGAGCCAAGTGAGGATCGACGTGAATTATACGTACGTTTCTTCAAACATTGCGTCATTCTCGAAGAATTCCTCTACCAGTTGTAGTATCGATGAAACAGACGCGAGAAATGCTTCTCTACAGCAGTATCGTTTATCACGGACCACGCAGAAATGGTTCTAATCCGCCGTTTCTTGTCCAGGATGTAACTGAGGGTAAGTTCGCAATGAGCGACTGTGCTTCTGGTTTTGTCCATTTAAAAAAGGAGCGTGGTATGCGTGTGCGTTTCGAGCGAAAAATCGCAAATAAACTAGTAAATCTGCATCCTTGGATCAAAACTGGTATTTGAGTCTAGATTATTTATATTTCTCGTATTCATTTCCAGATATCGTAATCTGATTTATTACATATATCCTTAATATGTATTTTATCGATAAATTCAATCGCATTTAATATATTTTAATTAGAGCCCAAAATATTTTATATATCTTTGGGTATTATATTTTTCACTATTTGGAAAAGAAGTAGTATTATGTCACTATAATAATCACGCTAATATAAGTCAAATTATCCAGAAAAATTTAAACAACAGCGTTGCTTTGATCAATACATATATTTCTTATTCTTAACTATAGAATATATAATTATACATCAAAGACGAAAGAAAAATATGGCAAGGTTTTCATAGATGGGGTTCAAATCAGTCGTCAGATAACACGATGAATGGCGATTCATCGTGCATGTACCTAGCACTACCTACCTCTGGGAGTTTGAAACGTCAAATCTATTATAAAATTTTTAGTATTCATTCTGAAATTCATTACGTCATTGTGATATACATTATTGGAAAACATAAAAACTAAAGCAGATATATAAATATATATTCTCACAATGAAGTGGTTCACTGGAAGCATTAATGAAGCAGTTGCGACATCAAAATCGAAGAAGGCAATTTTTGTCGTATTTGTTGAAGGTAATTGCAATTTTAGGTTAAGCCAATTGCAAAAATTATCTTGTTAAATTTGAAACATATGTATATGTGAACAACACAAAATGGATGCCTTAATACACTAGTTATATTTGTATAAATATAAACATTAATGTTAATTTGGTATAATGTTTAGGTAAAGATGATACATCGACACAACTTGCCCAAACAATTAATGCTACAGAAGTATCTTCTCGCTTGGAGCAAGAGCATTTTGTAGCTATACGATTGGAGAGCGGATCTGAGGCTTACAGATTCTTTGCACAAATTTGTATCCTCTTATATAACATGTCTTTTTATTTTAATATTGTGAGAAATTTGATATTTTTTAAATTTTCCTTAATTTTAATGATCAGATCAATTGGTACCAGTACCATCCTTATTTTTCATTGGAGAAAATGGCACACCATTGGAAATTGTTGCTGGTACCATAACTGCAATTGAATTAGTGTCAAAAATTGATAGCGTGCTGACAAAGGCAGGAAAGAGCAGCAAACAATCTTCGTTAAACTTAATTGATGCAGAACAGAAAGCTACAGCTATTAGTAGCAGCAGCAATAATAACGTTACTGAAAATGCTACTGCATCTAATATAAATGATAATAACTCTAATCCAAATATAGATGTAGCTTCAACTATCACAGAATCTGTTATAACAGATAGCACAAGTGATAATAAGGATGTTATAGAAAATGCAACAAAGACGACAACATTATTAAATACAGAAAACCAAGACAATAATGAGGCATCAAAGAAAAATGTTGAAGCTAAAGAAGCAGTTCAGAATAAGGAATTGACAGCTGAAGTACGTAAATTATCAAACTGTTATCTTAACATAATCTTTACATAATTGTTGAGCATATAAATTATATTTGTTACATATTTTTAGGAGAAGATAGAAAGAGCACGACAATTAATTGAGCTTCAACGAAAACAACGATTAGAGGAGGAGGAAAAAAAAGAACGGGAACGCGAAATTGAACGACGCAAAATGGGACAAGATGTACAAAAAATGCGGAAAATGCAACAAGATTTGGAGATAAAACTAGCGCATGAAGAAAGGGTACGAGAAAAAGCTGCAGAGGCTGCTGCTCGCGAAAAAGTTAGACAACAAATTGCACAAGATAAACTAGAGCGGAAACAAAAAGAGCTTGCGCTGGTTAGTATTATATTTCAATTATTAATTTTTATTTTTATCAAATTATAACATTCATTGTTTCTGATTGAATTTAAAATTTTTTAAACTTTATTTAATAGCAACAGATGCAACAGCAGCAATGCCAAGAGCAACCAAAACATATTCCATCCAGTACAGCATCTAATAATGCGACTGTGACCAGAATTCAATTTAGATTACCATCTGGCAATTTCCATACAGGACAATTTGAACCAACTAGTACTCTACGCACCTTGCGCACCTACGTTACAGAAAACATTGAGTTGCCCTTCCGACAATTTGCTATGTCGATATCGTTTCCAAGAAGAGAATTGACTAACGAGGAAAATGACAAGACCCTTATAGAACTTGAATTGGTTCCATCCGCCGTTATTTTAATTCTTCCTTTGAAAAATGTAAATGTAAGTACTTTTTTTGCAAAATATATTTTTAATTATTTAATTTATATTAACTTATATCTTCTACTTTCTAGTCTAATCTCACAACAGCGGTCACTTCGGCGCAAGATGTCGGTTTCTTTTCGCGCTTTATATGGTCCTTTTTCACACCTGTTATTCGTATTTACAATTATGTAGTAGGTTACTTTTTCGGCACTAATGGAGATACGAATCAGCGCGGAAATTCCGGTGGTGATGCTGTAGAAGCGACGAATAACTCCGACAGAGCTATTTCACCGAATCGGCAAAATGTAGTTCAATCTTCGGGGTAGGTTTTCTCAATAATCACGTTAAATAATCACGTTAAATAATCTCAGGTATGTTGTATGTAATATTACACTTGTAATATATAAAGTTGCACAAAATATTGGATTTCAAAATATTAAATAAATGTTTTACTCTAACGGTACAGTTTATTTAGAAGATACTTGGGTAATCAAGGAGGAACAACTATCAGAGCACAAGGAAATATACACAGGCTACATTCAGGTGGAGATGATAATGATGAGAATAATACTTGGAATGGTAACTCAACACAGCAAATGTAAAATAATCTTGCTTGAGTCAGGTCACAAGCAGTCATATTTAATAGATTACTATTCTCAATATATACAATTGTTGCTGTGTTGTAATTAATATTCAACACTTCACTACTTTGTTGTACACTCTAATGTACAATACTAAAATCTATCTGCAATTTTTTGCACATACATCTTAAGCAAGTTCTGTCGTAATGTTTAAATGTTACATCACTAGAATTGCGAGAAAGAATATATTTGTTAATTGAGACTACAATTAGCAATAATGTGAATATTATTTGAATTGTCGTCATATAATATGTCACAATATAATGTTTATTATAATATTACACATGCTATTGTATTACAATATGTTTATTGTAATGCTAATCATTGTATTTTAAGAAATGTAATACATTTCAAGAAAATTGTAGAAATGGATCAAGTTGGTGATATACGGACCAAATGTAACAAAATTCATAGGAATTAACGGACTAAATTATGAAAATTTCACATATATTTTAAATTTAAAGTGTTTGAAATTTTGGATATTCGATATTTTATTTCAGAACTTTTTATTAACCATATGTTAAATTTGATGATAATGTAAATTTCTATAACACTGAATCATCTTTATTTTTTTTTCTAGTTTGGAGAAGCTAAAAATAATAGAATATTTACTAAAAATAATGTTTTAATTTATGATAGAATATATTTCTTGGTGTTATATAAATCACATAAATTTTAAAATATTCATTTTTTTAATATATTTAATAATGTGATAAGAGAATAATTATGAGATATGATAATTAACATAATTAATTAATACCGTAATCCATTTGTGTAAAGATTTTTATGCAAACTTAATAATAATTAAGAGTCTTTATTTTCCGATGGTAGTTTGCACGGCAAGATAAATAACAATTAAGAGATAAAAGGTCCTATTCTGTCTTAATATTTAAAGAAATAAAGGTTTGTGGCATCATCTCTCTTGTTTTGATTTAACTAAATCCTTTTTCACATAATATTTTAAGATAAAATATACGCACGTTTTCTAAAACTTGTGTAGTAAATATGACATCAGTTTAAGCTTATGACAGTGTGAACACAAAATTGTAATATGAAAGTTTTTCATGCAGCTAAACATGACCTTAAAAATATATTCAAGGCGAGAGAAAAAATGCCAAGAACCTGTTACATATCGCGTATCACGTTATAGATGCGTTTAGAAGGAGCAAAGATTTAGCTGTCAATTGTCATTCGTTAATGAAGCATGAAATTAACAAACATTTTGACTTAATAATTATCGCCAAGGTTTCAATTTTCCGGACATGAAATATCGCAGTAGCAACACTACATCAGTAATGTGATCTCATAGTCGTACCCACTGACAGATTTTAGAGAACTTTATTCACATTTCAATCTCTTTGCTGTAAATCAAATGAAATGATTCTCGATTTTGTTTCTGCTGAGATAACTATTTTATATATTAAAAAGCATTCTTTTAAAAAAAATTATACGGTTAATTTTTTATTTTTCATGAATTTTGTCATAGTTCTAAATTTATTTAAGAAATCGATTTGTGCAATAGATTGTACAAAGTTGGAAACAAATTTGCATAATTCATTTCTCATTAGCTTGTATAACATCAAGAAAAGTGGCTATTTTTACATTAAAACACCATGTATTTAGTGATGAAGATTGTGATCATAAGCTTATTCCAATAATAATCTCATTTAAATGATACAATTTATCTAAATTGTTCGCCGCAAGAGAAAAATTATCTAAATAACAATATAATGGAAATATCTAATAATAAATGAAGAGAGGAGCTTAGTTTTTTGTGTTAGACAATGTATTCAAAACGATCTTGTTATTATATATGATAATCTGTAAATACGTGTGTCATATAGAAGATATGTTTTTCGTTTAGCTACTGCCAAATGGTCACCGAAATAGCGATTCCTGTGGCATAAATATATTTTCAAATTGTCAAACAATGATGTAGTCATTAAATTGGATGATTATCTATTTCTAATATAAAATTATCAATACACATTTTTATATATAAATAATCATATTTCCACTATCTTAATCGCTCAAATAATTTTTACATAATAATAATAATAATATTTCTAAATATATTTTTTTAATTCAAATTTCTCTAATTTAAACATGTTATTTCTAAATTTTTATAGGTATAGATAATCAGAATCTCTCTCTATGATAACTTTATTAAATCATTAGCTTCATAACTGAATCAATTTCGCATCTGTTCCCTATCATGATTATTAAACGGCGTTCCGTGGCAGTGACAGAAATTTATGGTCACCTCATTACCACCGTTTAGTGGTAGCGTCTCGCACTACGAGATCATTAAAAGCTCCTTCCAGAGATGCATATGCTTGCCAAGATCCGCCCAGAAGTTCATACGATTGGTTGATCTCATGATGATGTTGAGAGCACGTGGCTTCAAGATACCGCCTCGAAGAACGAAGAATTTGACTTGAGTGCCAAAAAAATATTGTTGGACACCGTGAGTAACCCCGACAAAACAGTCGATGGTTTCGGCTCTAATCTCTTGAACAGATCAGGGGGTACCGATGTAACCAGCCTTATTCGTTCAATTATGCTGATTCGTTCAATTATCAATGGTACTCTTTTTTCATATTTAATTTTTAATTCAAGTGCAGTGTATTATACATATAGTATAAATATAAATGCTACAGTGAGATATTAAAATCTTGTGATCACACTTTAGTGAAGTTTTATCGTTTATTAATTGATCTTTGGAGTATCGATCAGTGTAAACTGATCTTTCTTTTAAACGTGATGAATGAGAAGAGATCGAAGATTGACATGAAAGAAATTAAAAGTACATATAATCTTTGAAGAATTAATAACAATTAAAGAAAGAATCCAATGTACGCGGGTATTCATTTGAGAGTATCATCGATTTTTTTTATAAATGTGATTAAATATTTTAAGCATTGTTTTAACGAAACGAATTCAAGATGTCCGATGAACAGCTTAAAAAATCTGAATCGTCGAAGAAAGCAAATGATTCTGCGGAAAATTCGAGGATATGTTCTTTTAGTATCGAGAGATTATTAGCACCAAGCAAGAAAAATGAAGAAGAGAATAAGTTTGCAGAAATCGATTTGTCACTACTTTGCCAGGAAAGTGAGTAGTAATAAAAATACATTTTAATTATTATAATCGATTAGCTATTATTTGAATATAATTTGCTTTTACTTACTTTTCAGTCATTTTATTATTATTGAAATTATATCACTTTCTTATTTAATTTTGTGATTATAATTAATGTTAATTAATGATAATTAATAATCTACCAAATTCTGTGTTATTTTTTTGTGTTATATACTTTATATATAAAGAATTATTTTATATATGTATACACATAAAAAAGAAATACTATGTTAAATACTTTTTTGTTATATATTTTATTATTACGTAACGCGGAAGAATTTTCATCTAAAACTGCAACGTACATCCTCTTTCTATTCGGAAATAGTAATAAACTTTATAATCTTGATGTGGTATAATTTATATGATGAGAATTAAACAAAATAATTGCATTTGCCAGGTAATGAATCGGAGACGAGAATGCTTGTTGCACCCGATTCATCCATGTCAATGGCGGAAGAAATTGAGCTTGACGATACCGACATGGTGTGCTCGACATCTCCCGAGCCAGAGATGTATTATGGTAAGTTTCATTAGTATTATTACACATTATTACACTTTCAAATAGTCGCATTAATATTTGCGACGCAATATCTTTTTGAATGAACGTTTTCTCGGCACTTTAATTAAAATTATATTTTTTAAAAACATACAAATGTTAGAAATGTATAGAAAGAGGCTTTTAAATAGACTGTTAATTAAAAAGAAATAATTACATCCTAATTAACATTTAATTATATAATTTTTATATAATTTTTATATTACAATTTGATAATCACAGAATTAGAGGATGAGGATATCTGTTTATATAATTTTCACAAAATATTGATTTATTTATCATGTGACACAAATATTTTTCAATAAAATCCTGCTTTAAAAATGTATACATATTTCTATATCATAATATTCAATAATTTTCCGTTATATAAATTTTTGCATAAATAAATTCGCTTAATTATGTGAACGCCAATGTCAAAGTTTGCACTTGACACAAGTGTGCAACACCTGTATTTGTTTTGTTAATCGCCTGATTAATAAAGACATTTTGAACGAAAACAGACAAAATAAAGATTTGAATATTTGATATTTTCATCGATAGCCATTAAAATTATTACAGCCGAGAATACTTTTCTTGAATCATTGTGGAAATACATATTTGTATATGCATATATCCTTTTTAAATTTATATATACATATATCCTTCAAATTAGATAATTAATAAAATTGTACTTGTCGATGGTAAATGCTTTTACTAAAATATTATAATATGTGTCGAAAAAAATTACTTATTATTAATTTAATTTTGATAATATGATTTGCCAATCTCCTATATAAATCTCATTCAAGAATTAAATCTGATATTTCAATAATTTTATTAAAAGAACAATTAAATTTGGAAAAACATAATTTATTCACATGTAATGTGTGTGTATGTGTGTGTATAATGATATAATTAGTAATTCATATTTGTCAGAGAGAGGCTATGATGTTAAAAAAAATGTTATCACACATTTAAAGAAATACAAATAAAGAATTCTTTTTTTAAATGGGATTTACATTTTGTTAGACAACAATTGTTTCTTTGTTTTTACATCAACATGAATAATAATTTTTTTTACAATATATTATGCGTAGAATCTGACGCTAGTAGAAAATAAAAGTTTCGTTAATAAATAAAAGCCTTGTTTCAACTAGTGATAACACAAGTGCGTATCTCTTCTTTTCTTATAAGATTTTCAAATATTACTTTTGAATCTATAGAGAATTATATTGTTCACACCGATATTGCATCGATTAGCCGGTAATATGAACACAGGTACCAAATAAACTGATTGTTATAAAATCCGTAAGACTCCTCGTAATAACGAATTCATAAGATCACGTGGAAAGGACGTCGCCTGTGAGTTTGATCCATTACTTCCTGCAGGCTCCACGCCCACTCAATGTTCTTGCTCTTCATCCACTATTTATCTGTCTCCTGCTAATTCTGCCATGGAAATCTGCAGCAACTCTTCTGCTTATAACAAAATGAAAAAAACGGGGTAAAACTTCTTTGAGAGTCTTCCGAAATGTTACTTGCAAAATAGAATGTACAGACATTTTACTAGAAATCATTGAGATGGTTTAACTTTTAAAATTAATTTAATGGTTTAAATTTAATTTAAAGATTTTAAATTTAATTGCAACATTTTATAAGAATCTTATAACTATGTTTTAATTAAAAAATTTTCCGAGTTTTTAAAATTTCAAAATCTAAATTTTGAAAGCTCAAAGTTGAAACATCGTTACAAGATTCCTATAAGATGTTATGATTAATTTGATATTATTTTTCATCATTTATTATGCATCACTATAATTTGCTTGGCACATTGCAAATCATTCACGTAAAATTATTTCCGAGAATAATTACTGTCAAAGAATTGCTGGAGGTAATACTGTCTCTAAAGTATTTCAGTCATCGTCTGACGCGACATAATGGAAGACGACCTGGCTTATGTTTTTACGGATAATTAATATAAGAGTCGAGCGACTCAATTTTGTGGCATCTCGCACACCCTCGAGGGCCTCAACGACTAATTTTCATCCGAAGGCATGTAACTTACGGCGTCATGATTTATACACCGTAATGGCCGACGCGATAAATTCGAGATCTAAGGAAAGGACAATTCTCGTTTGCGTCGTATGTTGGAGGCTGAGATATGTGGGACGTCGCGTCCAACTACAAAGCCGTCAACGCGACACGTAAATCTTTGGGAGAGAACATAAGACATAAGGAAGAAGAGACGACGCGAGAAAAAAGCGCTTCTTTTTGAACCAACCCATTATGATTTTGAATAATAATTTTGTATCCATATGTGACATTTTTTCTATATAATTTTACTCTGGACTATCCCTTGCCGAGATATTAATAACGTCAAGAAAAACGTTGGGAAAAACTGAAATTATGAGTATTTAAACTTCTTTTAAACGATATAGATTATGAATGTAATATTTTTCTTTTAAATTTTTTAAATAAGTGTGTTATTTGAATACTAAGATCTTTATTAGCAACAGAGGATCTATTCGTAGATCCATCGTCAAGATAAATTTGCCAATCGTTGCGAGTCGCATGCAAATTAATTATCTTTACAGTTGATCGCCAGCATGAAATGACCGGCGATGTCAGACGAAGATTTGGCTTTATCGCGTCTCTCCGCGTGCTTTTAGGCTATTCGTCACCGAATAATTAGGAGACAAGTTCGCTGTGGCTCGCAGCAATTAGGTAAACTAGAAGGCGTGGTATTCTATTTCCGCAACGTCCAACGTGCCTCTGTCCCTCGAGTTTGGCTCCCCTTCATCCTCTTGTCGTCGGTTCCTTTTTGCGGTTGCTTCCTCTGCATCAATCCTTTCTTGCTCCTTTCCAGAGCTCGTTCGTCAATGCAACCGAGTCAGAAACTCGACGACAAATGAGCCATGCGAGACTCACCCCTTGTAGACTCTTTTCTTCTCCTTCTTTCGGCGTGCTTCCGGTTATAAGCAGGTTGTGGTGATCTTATGCACATCGCATGTTGACAAACAAAATTTAAAATTTAAAATGTTTTTAATTTCGAAATTTATATATTAATAATAATGAACAATCTTTTGCAATACATCATTTAATCTTATTCGTTATTTAATTTAATTTTATTGTATTCTTTTTTTTAAGTGAATATTTAATTTAGGTTCTCAATGATCAATGATATGGTATATCAATGATAAATTTTTAATACTTGAAAAAGATATTGTTGTAGGTGTTTTTAGATTTAAAAAAACAATTGAAATATTTTCATAATATATTGACACTGAGCGTAAATCTCAGTCATATCATATCATATTCAACTACTCATTTGAAAGATATACGACAGATGCGAAATATTAACGCTGTCTCAACATCTGACATGGTCTTTTAAAAGTGCGAAACGTGGAGGGCTGCATCGAAGTGAATTACAGATGGTACAGTTTTAGCCGCTAGAACTTTGGCGAGAAAATGCGAGAAACGAGACAAATATATCGTCATCTGACAATCAGTATCCAGTAAATGGCATTTTTCGAGATGAGTTCGCTGTAAATAATTTTTTCGACATATTTATTATATTTTTGATTCTATTTTTAATTTTACACATCTTTTGATTTATTGATATTAAAAACTATTTAACGAATTATTCGAGAAATATTATAATTATATATAATAACTGTAATATAGTGTTTTTCAGCGTTAGTCGTACGTGTGAAAGCTCGTTCGGCGATGCCACGCTTTTTCGTCAGATGACGAATGGGCAGATAATTAGAAGATGATCCTCCGACGTCTTAAGAGAGCGCGTTCTTGTTACAACCGCCTAAAAGCGAGCCCGAAGACATTCTTCATGACACGCGGCGTGATGTCGTGTACAACCGTGCTTGTAAGCCGGGATAAATATAAATATAAACAAGTTTGACGGACAAAAAATCCTGAGATTGATGAGGAAGAGGATTCCACGGTGATAATTGGAGCCCCCTCGTACTTAGCGGCAGGATCTGATCTCTTGAATGATCTCCGGCGCGTTAACTTCGTTCAAAAACGATTAAAAGAATAAAATATGGTGCCCTGAAACGAAAGCAACGGGTTTTGAGTGAATAACGACGCGATTTCGGTTGTTCGCATCAGTTAAACCACGCTGGCCGTGATACTTTCTCGTTTCCATGTCCAGCGACTTGCGCTTTATAATTTGCAGTTACTCAATCAGGCCGTGTTTGACAGCTTACTTTCGATATACCGGTTCGAGCATCAAAAAGCATTTACGTATTCGATGATTAAGGCAGATTTGCGTTTTTCACTGCATCATTATATCGTTAATACATGCGATTGCGATGTAACTTATAGAGTATATTTCAGAAGTTTTTTTTAGATGTTTGGTTGCTCATCGCTTTAAAATATGGGATATTGTTGCAGAAGCGTGCACCAGCAGTAGTGGTGCGAATTCGACCACGGACAGAGATACTCAAGAAAAGACCGCCGCCGCTATTAGTGACGACGAAAGGAAGAAAAGGCCACGCACGGCATTCACCGCTGCACAAATTAAATCTTTGGAGGCGGAATTTGAAAGGAACAAGTACTTGAGCGTGGCAAAGCGGCTGCAACTGAGCAAAAACTTGAAGCTTACGGAAACGCAAGTAAATGTCTTGTCAATAATGTTGATATATAAATTAATCCCTCTTTTTAAGAGTCTATATTTATTTCATTTCGACTTAATAATAAGTGACAGCTGTGTCTATTTTATTCCTAAAGACGCTGGTAATCATTCTAACGTATTCCAATATTAAGTTCTACGCCATAAACATGTATAATTGGAAAAGAACACGGAAGATTGGGACGGATGTATTCAGACATAGGATATTGCATTCGATAAATCGCGATAATGTCTTCTGCTTCCGTAAATCTTTTTCAACACCTGAAGCAGTTTAAGTTCTTGTATTCCGAGTTCCTTAAAATCAACTGACTCTAAATTATGGGCCCATGGAGCACCATATGTGCAGGCGCCAGATCGTGGCGCCAGGGGGAGGATTGTCCTTTAAAACCAATTAGCACTTGTTCACCCTTCCTTCTCGCGAACTATTATGGAAAGAAATTTTTTGTTAAGCACTTAATCTCTTCAGAAGTAGTTTTTTACACACTCAACGAAATCAGAGAAGTCAGCTGTATAATTTTAAAAAACGGAAAATTTCACGCAAATATTTCATTGAAATTTGGAGTTCTATGTGCGTTTGAAATTACCAGCATAATAATTAGAGTTAGATAAATATGACAGTTTAATTTCATAAAATGTATTTGAAACAATTTTTACATCATTACTGAAATCTCACTTTAGTTCCAGCACCGAGCATAATCTCGCCGCGAGTCTTCCACGAGCGTTATCTTCTAATATTAACCGGTCCCGCTACAATTCTCCGACATGACGATTCCTCCACAAAATGCGTGGAGTGCCTAAGTCAGTTGCATAAGTCTCGGTCGTGCACTTGGTTGGGCGTGCGCTTGATACTCGCCTGTGCTCTAAACTAATTAATTTACGGCGAGCACCCAGAATATTCGCCATCACGCAGATTGCGCCATGCCATCATCGCCGGTCGGTCGCTTGCCGGCAATAATTGCCAGCGTCGGTCGAAATATCGCGAACGAGCCGGATAATTATCTCCGCGATCGCAGTCGAAAGGGAGAACGATCGGGACGACGGGACCAGAGGCAAGAGGGGAGACGCGTCGTGCCGTAGACATAACTGTCACAATATTTCTCGGAGTTAACGAGCCGGTTCGGGAGGGCTCCCTTTTCTCCCCTTCTCGCAGGCTATCTCGTATGTTCCGTTGTCGCGAGGTTTGCATCCGCCGCGGAACGAAATGTACCGAACGACGGCTGCTGCGCGCCGTCGAGGCGACGAACCGGAGAGGCGTCGATTTTTTAATTAGAATGCATGGCTGGCCGTATGTCTGCGAGCCGCTTTTACCATGAACCAAGAGAGTTCGTCGTTTTTCTTTGGGAAATTTCGATCCGCATAAAGAATGATTATTTTTCTCTACAATATATCCATTTACTGTTCACTGAGATTGGAAATTATTATTATATTAATATTATTAAAAGATATTGTATTGACAATTTTATGCTCAAATAAATCTAGTAGTATAAAGTAATCAATTACATTTCTGAATAATATTATATTGATAAATATTTATGAATTAACATATATTTGTATCATTGAATCATTATTAGATCTTTAATAATATAAACTTGAATATCAATCTTTGATCTAATCTAAAGACTTTGATTAATTGATAAGTTCCTAATTGATATATTATCGTGTGTAAATGTTGATTCGATATTTTCGCAGATAAAGATATGGTTTCAAAATAGACGGACCAAATGGAAAAGAAAGTACACTAATGATGTTGAATTATTGGCTCAACAATATTACTCGAGTCTAGGAATTCCAGCGCCACGACCTATTTTCGTTGGTGATCGCTTATGGTATAAATCTATCAGTATATCAAAAAATGTATTATTTTATTACTATTAAAAAGTCTTCTTCCTTCTATAGAAAATGCATTATTTGTTATTTATCTCTGCGAAATTTCGTTGCTAGATATACTTGAAGCAAGACAGTTACCATGTTTTTTAATATTAATTTTATGCTCTTGTATCCATATATGGCTCTAATATATATCTTTCTATAGGTTCTTCAATTATCCGGGGCAACCACAACCGGGAGTATCATTGATTCCACAACATTTAACACCGTTACCTTTACCTCCTGCGTTACCCATTGTTCAACCATTGCCTAGCAATTTGTCAGTGAGACAACAAACGTCTATTTTTCATAATATACCGACTAATCATCTTGCGCACAATCTTATTCAAAGATTGGACTTCAGGCATCAGCACGATCCTTAGTTTCAGGTAAATAAATTGTCAGTGATAGATAATATAAAATGTTAACAATTAAATCATTTAACATGCAATATGATATTAAATTAATCAAAAATGAAGTGACTATTAGATTATAATTTGAGATCTATATGAATGTATTATGATTAATTTAAAAATAATACCCGCATATATGTATCTAATTAAACCGATCGTATCCCTTGATAGAATAAATATACTTATCGTGAAATTTTGCAAAGTTACGAGATATGAAATTTAAGGTAAAGGATAAGGTAAAGATTATATCAGAATAATCGTATGAAAATTGATATTTTTTTATATTAACGCATTTATATTAAAGAGAGAGATATAGAAAGAGAATACATATAAAATATATATAAAATAAATAATTATTTAAAATACTACAGTAGTTTTAAATTGAATACATGTGCGATATTTAGAACAAAATTTTTTTCAAAAGAAACAAATAATGTGATCATATTTACATTTTAGATTAAATGCTAATAAATAAGAGCATTATGTAAGATCCTATTTATTATTATCAAAAAAAAAACAAAACTATAAATTATTTGAAGAATATACATCACAATGTATATTCCTTTATGTAACAATGCAATTTCATATTATATAAAATGTACATGTCATCATAAAATAGGAGATAAGATTTTATTAACTCCTAATATTTTGTCGTCATAGGCCGCTTGATCCTGAATAATTTTTGCATATCTTTCATTATCCTGTAAATCTTCCTCGTCTAGCATTTCCTGCATTCTTTGCTTGTATCTAAAATTCCCCAATATTGCATAAACAATCTTCCTTAAAATATGATAATGAACATATAAATGCACTTACATTTCACTATCAGGATTATTTTCCTGATTTCTGCATTTATCCAGTTTTTTCTCCAAAGCTTTTATTACTTCTCGCGATGGTGGTTCGACACATTTAGCCATTGAACGTATTTCTATAAGAAGCAATTCATGAATGTGTAAAAAAACTTGTATCATAAAAGCATATACGAATTTGAATTGCAATATAAAATGAAATTACTTCGCACAGCTTCTATAATCCCTCCCAATTGTTCTCTTGAGAACAGTATGTCAGTAACATAATTATCTAGGTTTGCGGAAGCTCTGGATGCTGCATGCAAAGTCGCAGCCAATGCAACTTGACTTGGAGCATAAAGAAGAACACTGTCTGTGAGGAAAACTCTTTCTAAGAATTCATCTATATGTTGCCTTAATTTTTCAGGATTTTCCAAGGATGTATATCTTGTCTAGAAAGCATGCATAATATATTTATTTCTTTTTCATCAAATAAGAATAAAAAGAAATTGTACCTTTATATCAATCATTAATCCTTCCACAGGTCTAAAAGGATTATGAATTGTAAGATTATAATTCAAATGCTGCATAAGAAGCAATTCATTATTAAGTATTATATCAGATGCTTTATCTCTATCTCCTTTGATATTTGCTACAAATTGAGATATGGAGACATTAAACTCTTCGACCTAAAATCACAGAATTCATATAAGATTGAAATTACATATGTCATAGAAAATGATAAATATAAAACAGTATAATTACTTTGCATGCTAGATAAACGCAAGTAACCAGGATCTCTTTTGGATGATAATCCATGACACTGTTCTTAATATAAAATCTTTTAAAGTAATGTAAGGCAGTGGCTACAGTAGGGCGAGGCATTGATGGATTAAATCGACGACAGAAATCTCTCAATTGTAATTCATAGAAACGAAGTAATGTACGCTCCTCTGTATTTGAAAGAAAATGTTCCTCCTTTTGTTCCAGCTGTTATAACAAAACAACCATAATTACATCGTGCATAATAAATTTTTTATTTAACATATAAACATTTGATATTGCAACATTTATTTGCAATATTAAATATAATTATATATAATCTAATTCAATATATAACCTAGATTTTTGACGTTAGTATTTCATCACACAAATATGCATAGAAATGAAAAAAGTGATAATAAAAAAATTTAATGGTTGAATATATAAAAAATAGACCCACAGTCATGTTAGCTCCATGTTTTTCAATAAATTCAGCATTGGTCTTTTCCCTTAATATGGTCAAATCATTTTCATCGCTAAACATCCAAAACTTGTTCTGCGAGCTCTGCGGAAACATCTCGGTAATGCTTGATTAATAGAAAGAACAGATTTGTTTAATTATCGAAGTTCACGCAATGCGAAATTCAACTAAAATTATAAATTGTATCAGAGAAAAGAACGACAGACATAACACATGGCACAGCTTGTTTTCAGATCAGATGGTCCTGAAGACAGTACGCTCTCTGTGGAAATAAAAACGTAAACATGAACTACGAAGCGAAACTCCACGTTTTCAGTGGATAACATAGTGTGCACAATTTCTGGTTGTGTTCCGTGCTATGTGCACGAAATAACAACACTCGGTAACATAGTGCAGTACAGGAGTGCAGTGATGCAGGACACACTTAGGTGCGTATTAAATAAATTTTTTTATTAAATTTTTATCACAATAATTCAGTTGAAAAAATGAAGTATAATATAAAATATCCTTATTAATTTATCTCTATAATAGTATTCTCTATGTGTTTTTGTAAAATTAGTTTGGTAATTATAATTTTGTAATTATAATTATAATTTTGTATTTTGTAAAAATATTAGGTTAGATTATAAAGGAATCATTAATTATATTTAAGAAAAACGAAGAACCTTTGTAGCAAAAGAGAAGTTAATTATATAAACAAATTATTTAGTTTTTTTACTATTGTTAAATTGTCGAGCTATAGGTTTTCGTGATGATAGCTATTCACAAAGTAAGCACAATGAGATAGTCAGTCATTATCGCCGAAAAGAAGCAATAATACATTTCGATACTTTCGAGTATTGGTATAATATTTTTATAAGAATCGATTAATTTACAATTCAATTAATTTACAATTCAATTAATTTACAATTCAAAATACTTTTATAACTTAAAATACTTTTAACTGCGTACATATGTATATCGCAGTACGTGAAATATTTTCTCATGAATTTTCAATAACATTTTATTTGGCCTTCGGCTTTCGCAGCGCGGCTTTGGATATGTAAACAAACGCTACACTATTCCCACGGCCTTATTATTATTCGAACGGCGACATTCCAATAGTAAAGTAATGATAGAACGCTCCGTACATTATTGAATTCGTTTCCTAAACGCGATCGCGATTAGTATCAAAATCTAATTTGTCATGATTACTGTATATCGAGAGAGATCATATAAAATATCATTTCATAACTTTCGATCAGATAAAAATTATTTTTCTAATAATCTCTCACAGTCAAAAATATATTTTGTCTAATATTTTAATTATTTAAATGCAAGCATAAATTAATTATTAATTAAAGAATTGCAATATCACATTTTAATCTCTCGATTTTATTAACGTATGATTCATATTAATATATTATATTAACAGTAATGATAACATTGTCATAGTGACTTATGATTTTGATCTCGTGTCGAATGAATCGTTTTTCGAGTTGCTCTTTTACAACATAATAAAGCGTGTATCTGTGATGTGATTGTTTCATAAATAGTATTGTCGTGTAAAATATCTCTTGAGATTGGTACGTTTAATCATAATTAATCGTGTTTCCGCTAGTGAGTGGCCACAAGGAAACAAGACAGGAAAAGCTTTAGAAAAGCAACATACGGAACAATAAGAGCATATTGTGAGTAATTTATAAATTATTCATTATTTATATTATTTGTAAAATAGACATGTTATTCGTTCTTTTTTCATTTGTTTTATATTATTCTATATTATTCTTCTATATTCTATATCATTTCCGCTATAATATAGGGTATAATATGTATATACATGTATATTTCAAATTTTATTTTAAAATATTTAAAAACTATATATCTATATAATAAAGTATTTCACAATATAATTATTTAGATATCTTATATGTGAAAATTATTATAAAATTTCTTTTTTATTGTCTTCATATTTTTTAAAAGTTTCCATTTAAAAAATTTTTTTGGTAATTATGCAATTTGTAATATTATAATATTTGTCCAGACCGTAAATAAAAAAATTATTGCGCAGAATTAATTAATTTACAAAATAAAATATTTTGCACACTTAATACAGAATATATTTGTAAAATTATTAATTGATTGTATTTGCATTTAATTCGTTTGTGTGACTTTTATCTCCAATAAAAAGAAAAAATCCAATTTATCACAATTATGAATATTCAATAATAAATAATTAATTAATTATAAAGTATATATGTACTGTTTATTGATAATTAATTAGAAAGTAGTAAAATATTTTATGTTCAATTATATGTTATAAAAAATGAAATATATATGTATAATAGAAGGCAATACTATAAAATTATAATTATAACAAATCGAATAGTACATATTCTTGATGTTTAATTACGCTGATTGAGACGCTTTGTGTAATGTTCTTTGCAATCATTCATGACAATTAGTAGTAGCAAAAGGCTCGTAATTAACTTCACAGTTAAAGATTTATAAATGTGTTAAAATAATGAGAATTGGAGAAAAAGATTTCTAAATAAAAGCTATAATCTTATAAAGATGTAAGCTTTTATAAAGTTATTAGAGAAGTATTAATAATAATAATATTCTTTTTTCAAAATTTATAGAATTATTTTATTAGTCTATTTATTGAATTATTTGCATGGAATATAAAATTCAATGCATACAATAATAAATTTTTTAAATATTAATTATTTTGGACGCTATTACAATTTAAATCTTTTATTTATGTGATAGATCTACGTAACAACCTTGATTTCTAGAGGATTCTTGAAATTTTCTTATTCTTGAGAGGAGGAGCAGGTCTAGGAGAGGCATCCTGCACCAGCGGAACAACCTGATGGTGAGTATTATTATTTATTAATTATTATAATATAAATCGCGCACATATTAAATTTAGTTCGTTTATTTGAATGATTTAAACAAGAGATATTTAAAATAAAAAGATTTTATATAAATCCTATAAAAGTTTTTATTTAAAAAATAGTTTTTTTAGAATTTATAAAATTATTCCATATTTGTTTATTATTGGACGTTTTGGATATACAATTTTCGGTGCGTACAATAATAATTGAATATAATGAAATATTAATCATTTTAAGTGCTGTTATAATTTGAATTTTATTTTTGTATGTTATAGACAACGTAGCTTCAATATCGACAACTCCGCTGTTGCGCACCAGTGTCGGTGAGTGAAACGCACTTATTTAATTTTAAGGTAACGGATTTGTGAAGTTTGTAGATGTAGAGATTGTAGATTGTAGATCCGTTATCTTAAAATGGATAGGCTAAAAAAATTACATAACTTAATAGTTTTTTTTTTAATATATATAAATACAACATATTACTAATTAAAATTAAAATTACACACGAACCGGTTTTTCTTTGTCGCCATTTATTTTTCGCATCTCTGTTTAATTTTCAAATATCGTGTATTTTACCCGTTTATTTTATTTTATTATCAAAAATAAATGATATTTTGGTCATCTTGTTTAGAATAATTAGTCGGATCAGTTAAACTTTCACTGATCTCCGTGTTTTATTTGGCTTTTAATTTTACTTTTATCCAAAAAGTTTGATTTCTCTATCAAAAATTAATGAAGGAGAAAAACTTCTTTCAAGTTACAAGTTATTTATTTTCGCATTTTGATGCTTGAGCATAATTTTATGCTCGTTTATAGTCGTATTAACGATCATTGTTGTGTATCGAAGTGTAAACAACCATTGTTGCATGTCATTTTAATATAACTTTGCTTTAACTAATATAATGCTAAGTCATTAATCAAAATTGATTAATTAAAATTTTTATAATATGTATATATGCATAATAACATTTATAATAAAATTTATGATAAACTTACAATAAAATTAATTAAACATTCATTTTTGCATTTTTTTACTGTACTTTATACTTATTTACTTATCCGCTAATATTTTTATATAATCTTTTTATATCTATTATATATTTTATTATATATTTTAATTGATTGATAACTTAGATTTTATTAGTCAAAGCAAAATTTCTGATATGCTACATTACATAATATTACACTACATAATTGTTATATATAATATTAATAAAATTATTAGTGCGTTCTTTATTAAATAAAATAAATAATTGATTATAATAATTAATTGATAAGGAATTAAAATTTCTTTTATATTTAATTTTAATTTTAATTAGTAATATGTTATAAAATCCTTGAGAGCATTTCCAAATCTTGAATAATCGCAGATTCCCTCTGCAATCAATAGAGTTGTGGATTGTTAAAGTATAGTATTTTATATAGTAGAATAATCAGTATATAATTTATTAGAAAGCTTTCCTTTGTTAAAACGTAAGATTACAATTTAAAATCGCAATATTGTTATTATATATTGCTTTTAAAAAAATATAATCAAGATTGATGTATAATGTTTGATATCATTTTTGACTCTCTTTTTATAAATATCCACATTGCATATAATATGAATTACATGTGAATTTTAATAATTTATATATATCTTATTGCAATATTGTAAATAAAAATATAAAAATATAATAAAATATAATAATATAAAAATATAATAAAATATAATAATATAAAAATATAATAAATAATAAATATATAAATAAATTGTGACTTGATATTTATCGTTTGCTGAATAGGTAGGAATTTGCTGAAATTTGAGAACTGGTTGAGTAGATTGATTCTAGAGTACAGCATGAGTCATATTTTCAAATTAACGCGATTTTTGGCACTGATAAATCAGGGCCTGCATGCATCTTCTTATTTACATAATTAATAAATTAATAAATTCTTGCGGAAGAAGTATCGCGCATGTACGCAAGATAGGATCCATATTGCATCAGATATGGTAACATAAAAAATATATAATGATTAGATTTTAATATAAGAAAAATATATTCTTCTATTATATTCTCCTGAAATTTATATTTTAAATGTCTATATGTCTATGATATCATCATAATTAAAAAGAATAAAGAATCTATTGCTTAGATTAATCAAATATGCATATGTATTTATACATACAATTTTAGAGACTGAAAAGATATATTTTTATAATATTTTTATATTTCTTTTTTTTTATAAAGGAAGATATAATTACACACATCGAATTTACAATAATATAATAATATATTATTATCATTCATAGATCTCACAGTTTTTTAATAAACTTAAGAAAACATTCGTAAACATTAGCTATAGTTAATATT